ATAATAAAATATTTTCAGATATTTGCACTGGTTAACAACATAATAAAATTAAGGTCATCATAGTAAAAATAAAATAATATTTCTCAAAGAAGCAAATAGTGATTGGTGAATATTTCAAGTCATTAAATTTACGAAATAACAACTAATAATAACCAAAATCAATTTTGATAAGGATTTATACACCGTTAAATTTCATTATTTTACATTCGTTAGATAGTTTTTTCTTACAATTGCTAAAATCACTGAAAATAACAATTTTAAAGCACTGTTTAAATTGAGTTTATTATTCAATAATTCGTTAAGTATAAGAAACTTTAGAATTCTCGTTTTACCCAAAACTGGGTCATATTATGGCATATATAAACTCGACACACAAAAACGCACATGATTGTAGTTTGTGTACTACATAATATGTACAAAAAACATAGTCTCTATATATTATTATTAAATCAAAATTAAGAAATAAAATGTATATATAAATTATGTACATACTAAAATGATAACAAAATATCACTAATAAATTTTTAAATTAAAATAAAGTTAATTCAAAATCAACAATTCATAATATCGTGAGAACATGTCTTACTTAATTACTAGATATATTGTTAGAGATGGTTTTTAAAATACTTATAATACAGAAAAAATTCACAGTATAAAAATAAAATATAATTTTAATAACTAAATAAGAGCAAAATTAAATTTTACTTGCTTGAAAAAAATTATGTAAGAAAATATTAGTTGACCAAACTTAAAAAGAAATAAAACGTCTATAGTATATTTCTTGTCAGCAAATAATATTTTTACTCATTTTTTAAATGGAAGTTTTCCACTGTCTTTAGTATTATGCAATTTAAATAAGCAACGAATTTTACAAATCAATATTAAAAATAGTTATAATAAAAATATAAAAATTTAGTTTTAGCTTTAATCATCATCAAATTCAGAAATCTAACTTTTAGAGTCATATGAGTATCTTTACTTTAATATTATATATACTAAATTATATTCAAAATGCTGTATATAGGATAAAGTATGTATTTTTTTTTTATTTTTTTATAAGACACACACTGCAATACAAATACTATCTTCATTATTCGGATTTGAAATTCATTATTAATTTTAATCGGTAAACAAATATTTCTCAAGTTTACTGAATTTAAATTATGCTAAATAAGCTTTCTACTAATAACTAGTTGTTACAAATAATAATCTTAATAAAATAAATTTTACGATACAGGTTAATAGTTACTGATAAATTTATAGGTTTAAATATTTTTTTAGTTTCATAAAAATATAAATACGATATAGATAAAAAAATTCGAGTAAGTTATTTAATTAAAAAATTGTCCAACATCACTGATATCGATAGTTTTAAAATATTTAAATTTTTCTTTTAAAGTCATTATCACCCTAAATTTTAACCATGAATATTATTTGAATTGTTTTAATTTTCCGTATCCACATCCATATCCATGGTATGCCAGCTATCCAGCTTAAATTATATAATTAGTCACACCTAACAGAATAATTTATAATATTATATGAAATATATAAACCACAATTAAAATATTTTTGTTAGAATTAGAAATACATAAATTAAATATACTATGTTTAAACACTTATATAAAACATTTTTCGAGAATAAACCAGCAATATATTATAAAAGTTAAAATAAAATACAATAAATAAACAAAATAACAATCTCGTATAGTGATCTTATCTGACGAAGATCGTACCCAGACACATTATTACAGTTTGTTTGCCTTCGGGGTGAAAGGAGACTTACGCTTTGTGGCACGATATGCTTAAAACTTGTTTGACAACTTGTACATAAAAGTGAATATGAAAACGATACCTACTCTGAGTCTTGCTATTTCAAAAGAATATAGGGGTGTTTATGAATTTCTATAAAATCAAGTACACTACACAGGTTATTAGAAAACGTTAAAAATATATATATTTTATACCTGCACACATTTTAGGTATATTATTAATTATAATTACGAACTGTAAAAATTAAAACTAAATAAACTGCTAGCAAATCGATACCCACCGCCTACCCGCCACTGTAGTAATCTGACCGAGTAAAAAGTATACAAACAACAATAATGGAACTGTATTTATATTTATTTTGTATAAATATAGGGTTTGATAATATGGCTATATGGGTCACTGGTTTTTATATTTATTTTTTCATAAAATCTGTATAATATTGATCGATTAAATGGAAAATATTCTTAAATTGATTGAGTGTTAAACAAAGTAGATTTAATATATGTATATATATATATTATGTAATGTGATAAAAGTGTCATAACGATATTATAACAGTATTTATTATGTTACTCGATCGGAAATGAGCAAAAATGTCACTTTGGTTTATCGAGCTTGAAAATTACCAGTTGTGTTGTATACAACTCAAGATTTTATATTTTTATAATTCTTAATTTTAATAAAACATTATAATCAAATATTGAATACTTTTATTTTTATTTTTATGAATATAAAACAAAATTATATTTTTCCCTAAAAATTAATGTAAGTACTTTTCAAATTAAAAAACATTTAAAAAAAAATTTAATTGTTGTTGTTTAACTATACTGAGAAATGTTAACGTAATCACAAAGTTTATCTAAAAAATATATAAATGTTACAAACTGATAACGAATATGTATCTGAGAAAACAATATCCTCCAGTTAAATAGTGTTATTTCTATATAAATGTTTTTATTTTATTGCAATAAAAAAAAAAAAAAAAATGATTATTGAGGCACAAGTAGATGTTTAAAATCGTTAAAAAATTAGGTAATATTTTTTAGAATTTGTACGAATATTTTGATTACGGTTGAACACATCTAAGTAGGTCAAGAATTTAATAAAAACTTAATTAATTTCTGATCACTTGGTATAGTTACGTAAAATGTTAAATTACAATTTTTAATTTTTTTTCCTACAAACAATTTATTTATTTAAAATTTAATGATAGTTGATAATTTTCTTAAAATGTACTAAATACCTATGTCTATCATAGATACGGAACGAGGTTGTTTTGTTATGTATTTGACTTCTCAAAAAAGCATTTTAAATTATAACGGTTTAATCTAAATAATTTGTGGTGTATTAAGTTTTAATTTTCTAAAAATCACCCTTTTGCAGATTGTACTATACTGCAGTTTTTGAATTTTGAAAAATTATTTATAATCAATATTATATTTAACTAAAAACAGTGATTTTTCCATTAAAATTACAATGAATTTATTATATGAGTACATTATTTAGATTTATAATTTTCACAATACTTTTTTTTTTTAAATTAAATCCTTATTTCTTAGATTTAAAATTTAATTATTTATATTTAACATTATAAAATATATACACTTAATAATTTTTCAATAAGTTATGAATATGATACAATTATTTAAATCGTTTGTACTTTTTTAATCACATTATATTTTTTTAAGTTTTATTAAGTAAATTAATATAAATAATTAAAAGTGTTCAAAGGTTACTGAAAAGCGAATTTTAATATCATATCTTACATGTCTTCGTACCTACACGAAACATAGGATCTCACAGAATTCAGAGAAACAACTAGTATCTTGAATATCGTTTTTGTTCTTAGATAGTTTAAAAACTATTAAGATATTATAAAATATTAAAAGTATCTAAAAATTGATGAGTAAATTTAAAAATAAATAACAATAAAAAAAATAATTAAAATCATATATATTTTATCAGTTTAACATAGATTTCAATAACGAATTTTATCAACTACTTTTTATTTTTACGAAATAAGTTAAAGTAAAACAGCAATTAAAATAAACATTAATTTACCAAAAAACACACAAACCACCGTGATAATTAAAAAAGAACATAATAAATAGATATAACATTGTCATATTTCATTATAATATTCATAGCATATTGTTTTTAAAAATGTTTTAAATATTTAAATTTGATAAAACTTAAGACTCACAAAAAGAAACATAAATCAAACCTCACATAACAATACTATAATCCGGAGACCTTAAAAATTGAATGAACGACTGTAGAAAAGATATTAAAAGTTTTCTTACTATTCAAATTATTATATTTACAACCAGAACCGGAAAAAATAAGGATAAAATAAAATAATTAGGTCAAACAAAATGGGAAAAAATAGACAATTATCTTTTACGTAAAAAAAATAAAAATTATAGACGGTTTAATTTAAATATATAATATATACTTGGAGTTCAGTATCACTTTGAAATTACTATAAAGAGTATTATTTTTAACATTTTTCTAAAAAAGTTCAAAAGAATAAAATTATCGATTGAGTTATGTGAAATTGAAAAACTTTAGATCGTGCTTACTGCTTAGAACAATCTGGTTTCGTAACATTAACATAAAAACGCACTTATTGCTTTTGTTTTATGAATTTGGGTGGAATAATAAAAAAATCTACATTATTTTTTTATCCACGTATCTCTTAAAAATATCATCACTAATTAAAAAGCTAAACAGAATGAAATACCTGGTATTATTGGATTCGTTTTGTTTCACTCACCTGAGACTAAGATAATGGTGTTTTTAATATTTAATTTTAAAGGAATAAAAGAACAAAGATTTCGGGAAATAATTTTTATTTGAGATCGGTTTACAAAAGTAGTTATAAGATGTTTAAAAATCTGTGTATTAGTTATTGAAGTTGTTTGTAATTTAATATTTTCAAACTTTATTGAATTTATAATCTCATATAATATAATATATGTTATGAGTAACTTAAAGATTATCTAAGATAGAAAAAAAGTAATACATAGTTCAAGCCATCAAAAAAAAAAAAGTTTCCACAATTTTAGATACCTATGTGACAAATAAATACAATGATTGTATGAACGTGAAGCCTCAAAATAGTATTTATTTTTAAGATGTAACTAATCTTTATGCTTAAACTATAATGTTAGTAAATACGTACATCATATAACCAATATTAAAGTACATAAAATGTATATTTTTAGGAATCTCGAGGAAAAAGACCATTTAAAATATGGGATGGTTTTAGAAACATAAGAAAAAGCTTGTTGGCCTCCAGCTTAAAAGACTTAGAGATACGTGGTAAGTATTAATATAAATTATTAATTTACATCAGCATGCATCTATACGAGTTACCTTAGAATTATAAGAGAATATTATGTTCATAAATTAAAAATTCTTAATAACTTAATAAACATATTCAACTGTTATTTTTATTATTCAAGTGTACATAATATAGTATTATGATCCATTAACTAAATGGTTATATACTTATTTTGAGAAACTTTTACTTCTTCAAAAATTATTTCTGAGAAAAAAATACCATTATAAAGCTATTTTATAAATTATAACAAAAAATATTCATAAAATTTTGATCATTTTCGTTTTATTATAATAAGCATTATTTTAATGCAAATTAAATATTTTCAGGTTTTTTAGTGCTTAACATTAAAACAAATATACAGTATACAGTTATAATTAATTGTTCATTTAAAATAAATAATTCTTTTTGCAAAAGTTGTAATTCAAAAACATTTAATAAACTTAGTGAATTACAATTGTTGTAATCTTATAATTTTTTGTGTTACTTTATATTTGTGTACATTATATTTTTGTTAACATCATATACGTTTTTTTGTTAATCAATTAAATAATTAAACTAAAAATGTTCATCTATGAACAAAATTTAAAAATCCAAATAACTATTTTTACTTACAGTATTTGAATTATGCAGTTAAAATACCTTTTCATACCACTGTGTGGTCAAAATAGAATATTTCATATTTAAAATATCATACACAAACTACAAAATAAATAATATAAAAAAACCTATAATTAAAACTACATAAAATTTGTAAATTTCGAATTTTGGTGTTAAATTCAAAACTATGTTATAACTTATAACTATAAATATAATATAAATTGTAATAGTAAATAAAATAGTAGGCTTAACTCTAATGTAATCCTAAATTTATATGTAAATTTTAAAACTTAGATTATAAAATAGTTGATTAAATAAAGCAATTTCAAATAATTAAATACATAAGAAGTATTTTATTTTTTTTTTTTTTTTTTAATTGAATATTTTTATATACAATTCGTAAGTAGTTTTTAAAGTTAAATAAAGCATTATTATGATTAACAGGAATATAAAATTAAAAAAAAAAAAATGATAAACGGTTAATAATTTTCAATAAACTATAAACTTACTTTAAATTTAATAAAAAAAAATCTTTGATTTGGAGCTTGTAAGTCTCTTTGATTTAACTTGATAAATTTAATTTTGTATTTATGCCATATGAGTAATTAAAACATAATATTAATGTATGAAACTTTGAAAAAAAAATAAAACACCTCAATATATTATAAAAATTTATAATTTTCATGTAATATCACGATACATGCAATACAATTAATTCAAGGAAAATTGAATAAAATCACATACGTTTTTATAACACGTTATACTACATACTAGGTATATTCTTCAAAGCAATAATGTACCTATTTTGCCTATACAATACGCCGTGCAACAAATTTAGTTACGAAAATACAGCCAATATGGTACAAAAATAATATTATTACTTTAGATTCGCAACCAATAAAAATTAATCATCACATTTGAAATTAATTCTTTACTGATTTTGGTAAACTAAATTTTGGAATTATTCAATAATTAGATTATCTAGTATAAAATAATACTTACCTAATTAAATAATAAATTATTAATTATAATTTTAATATACCTTAAACTATTACTTTAAAATCAAATAAAAATAATGTAAATGTATTTTTATTAAAATTGATTTACCTGGTTTTATTTTATTAACTTCTAGATAAAGATACATGCAATTTCAAAAGATTTTTTTCTAAAAAAAAATAACAGAATAATTATAAATAAATAAAGTATTAAATTAGCAAGCAAATATACATTTATAGTTTCACTCGAACTCAAAATTTGAAATACTTAAATCTTTTATTAAGCTGTATTTAAATTCCTTTAAGGATTATTTATTTATATGTAGTATGTATCATAATTTTCTTGAATCAAGTATTTCTGACGATCATTTTACAATTGTATTTAAGTAATAATAATAATTTAAGTTATAATATACTGAAAAAAAACATAAGTTAAATAAAACTGAATTTTAAAAATATTGTTTTTTTTTCAGTGCTAAAATGTAAAAATACATATTTCAGAAGAACCTTTAAGATAATTTCATATTAAAAATTAATTTTTTATAATAATCATAAAGTTTTTCATTAACCTTTTCATAGTTTTAAATAAGTTTAAATTGTAACACTACGTAATTATTTTTTTTAGTATTTATCTATTTTTAAAACTGAATTTTTATTTTTAATTTATATCAAAAGAAAAATGTTTAAATATCGATCACTAAACAATCAGAAATGTTTGATAGATTAAAATATAATAGAAAGGTTGTAGAAGAGAATATTAATAAATATTTAACAATATATACACTTCCTTAAACTTCCAATCAATTATAAACTAGTAACTACATTTTATAATTACGTACATATTACACAGAATTTTCAAAACATCATTATTTTCTAAAAACTAAAGAAAATTAAAATAATTATTGCATAAAAATGAAAAATGTAATTTTTTTGTTTAAAATTAAAGTTTTTTAAAATTATATTAAAATTTTAATAGAAATGATGGATTTATTATTGGTTATTATAATACTAACAATAGTTCCAAATTAAATTGTCTTGTATGCAGATCGATACGCTTACTCCTCATATCTGAATCTAGCTTACATTATTAGTCAACTATTATATAAGATAAATAATTAATCCTCACAAATTATTATTGGATAGGAGATGACACTTGATTAAAACTTTAAATAGAGGACGTTTCAATCGCATAAGTGATATAAACTTCACTTAACCACACTAAACTAGATCAAAGGAGATTTTGTATAGTGCTTTTAGTCACAGTTGTAAAAAAATTCACTACAGTAAACAATTTGGTGTGAAGAATAAACAAAGATAAATAGATCAGAATAGATATGTTATTGTAAATAAAATAGTCATATACACTGCAGTATTACATAATACAAAGTAACCACATGTTGTATTACTACTTTTTTATTTAATGATGTGTATTTAAATAAAAGAAACAGCAATATAAAATTTCTTGGGAATAGTTTTAAACGAAAATAGCTTCCAGAAAATAACGATTTTACTCTTTGACGAAATTGAAAATTTCGATTAAAAAAAAAAAATAAAGAAAAAAAATTAAAAGCCTATCAAAAACTGTATCTCCGCCAAACGCTGTATGTAATATAGTCGATCTTCTGTAATTTAAAATTCGTCGGAAAAAAATAAAACATTGATCATTTCAAAGTTAACAAGAAATATAATAAGTATGATGACAGGTTGGTAGAGATTTTATTTTATTTTTTACGATAGTAGTATTTTTATATTACCAATGACGGCATTGAAATATTATCGACTCTAAGAAAGAAATTCTAAAAATAAAATGTCAATATGTATTAGTTATTTAAAACTATTTTTTATATATGTATAATTATTTTTTGTATTTATAAATAACTCTTTATGAAGTAGTAATTTAAAATGAAAATTTAAGTCATAACTATGATTTGGACAAAAATATTTCATTAAAATATTTTTAATAACTTAAATTAAATTCAGGTTGTGAAATTGGCTTACATATTTCATTTATAACAAGTTATTTTACTGACGTATATTTTATTTCTAAATATTTTTATCGTGAATATATTTAAGATTCTTTTCATATTTGCCTTAAAATAATCAATTATAAAATGAAGTATAACTGATGCATACTATTTAAACTAAAATTCCTTTAATGAAACTTAAAATATTACAGTGAAAATTTTTATATGTTCGGTATTTAACAATAAATTTAGTGAGTATATTTTAGAAAATAAAAAAAAAAAACATAAATATATTTTAATCTTTAACAAACGTTTACATACACCAATAAATTCACCGTACATTCATCCGCTAACAATTACTTAGTAAAATATATCTATAACCGTACTAAATGTTCTATAATAATATATAAAATAAATATTTTTACTTTTTTTAAAATAGTGTTTCTCCAAACTTTAGTCTCTACTTATTAAATACAAGTTTTGTTTTCAGCAGCAAATTCAATATTTAAATTTAGAATATTACAATGATGGTGAAACATATTATACATAATAATTCATTAAATTAACATTCATTAATCGAATGTTTTTCAACACAATTCGCTCACTATTAAGTTTTATTTATATGCAACGTACGAGTTCTATTTAAAAGCACCAAGTTGATTTTTCTTGAATATCAAAAATAGACTTTGATTATTTAGTAACGTTTTATTGAGTTTTTCATAATAAATTGTTTATAAATAAATAAATATCATATTTTTTAACTGTTTACATAGAGTTTATTTTATTGTAATAGAGTTATGGATTATGAAAACGTATCAAATAGAAAGTTTAACATGATTTAAATTTTTATTTCATTTTTTTTTTTTTTTTATTAAAAATAGAATATAATCAATATTAATGATGTGTATTTTTCAGGCAAAGAGAAACTGAATATCGCACCGAATGAGCCTGTTAGATTGGTACTCGAAACTGACGGTACACAAATCGAAGATCCCGAATACTTCAAAACACTGCCAAACAATACTACTGTGTTATTGCTCAGGAATGACGAGTACTGGTACCCAGCTGAAGTTGATGCCATTAAAACAGGTAATTATGAATTTTATAACTTATTATAATCAGTATTAGTATTCATCGATAATTTGCATAACTATTGAAAATCGTACGCGGAGTCCAAATTCAGATTACTCAATCAACATACACACCATTATTACAAACAATAAAGTACAATCTGTGCATAGAGACTTCCGAATATTTCGCATGGCCCTTCTCATCACCACATCATGAAAATAGTGTTGTATTATAGGTTTTTCTGATTATAGTGAAAATAATATAAAACCAATATTCCGTTTAAAAAAAAAAAAAAGTGAACAGAGTTCCATCGACTCTAGAGTACAAAAACTAAAATTAAATCTGGTACAACCGAGTGTAATATTAAGTTATACTAATCAAGAAAATACATCGTATAAGTAATATTCGTCTAAAATGGAATTTACCGGTGCATGGGATAAATTATACGGTCTAAAAATCAGTTTAATAAACTTTAACTCGGTTCTCCCATGGCGCACTCGCACATTATCTGAATAGCCTGAATAATGCAAAAGATGAAACTACGATGGTTTGTTCGTTTGTATGTGCGATGACTAATAAACATTGTTGTATAATATTTTCTTATACAAAAATATATAATAAATAATAATAAAATAAAAATATAAACAATACATTAAAGACCGAAATAAGTTCAAAACTTTAATTTGTATTAAATGAACAGCATCAATAAAAGTTCAAAAATTAAATGAACAAATCCAATTCCAAAAGAGCTTCTTTATACGATATTATTATTTATTGCGTTTATACGTTTTTAAGTTCTATGAAATTCTACCACTTTTAAATGTAAATAAGTATAATTATTATATTAAATTATTTAAATTATGAACAAATTACATCCAACACAATTAAATAAGTGGATTTTAACTAGTATTGTATGAACCTAAATAATTGTGTAACTGTGTTATTTTTTAAATGTTAATGTTATTATTTATGTAGGTATTTATTCTTTAAAATAAGCAATTGTAATCATAAAATAACTTTACAAACTGAGTAAATAAAAAAAAAAAAAAACATAATTATGAAAAGTATGGTGATTTTTTTCTAAAACCACAATTATTGTTATAATTAAAGTATTCTTAGAGCATGGCAATAAAGTTTTTTTTTATCAACTATTATTAATCAAAATAACAATTATAATTTTACACACCATAAACAAAATTTGATCGTTGTTCTAAAATAATCTGAGGTATTTTTATATATAGTAACTTTTATATTTTTATTTAAGCTCAATAAATTGGTTTTACAATAATGTGTGTGTATGTGTATTTTTTAGTATGAAAAAATCGCATTCATTTTCTAATTCTAGGGCGATTAAAAGTAAAAAGCTCAACGACGCATATTTCTTAAAATCAAGATAAAGATAAAAAATTATAAAGAAGAGAAATCTTTACACAATATTTATTTTTAAAAAAACAAATTTTATTATTTTGAATTTTTGAATTTATTATTAATTCAAAAATTAATAATAATAGATATTTTAAATTGCTATCGATTATCTTTTATATAATTTTTGGCTCATAATGTCATTTTTCAAAACATTTTTTGATCTATTTATAGAGGCTTTAAATTTTTTTTACTTTTATTTTAATAAAAACATGTGTGTGTATGTTTTAATTATGTTTTAATTTTTTTAGAATTAAACCATACAATTTTAACATTAGGTATATCATAAGTCTATGAATAAAATCATTAAAACGTGTAGACCGGCTGTAGTTTCGCAGATAACCCATTCACTAACTGAGGTTACTCGGGTTACAATTCAAATACAATTTATGACCGATTCGCACTAGGTACTAAATTACTAGAACCCAAACCATCGATGTGCGTATCCGAGTTTTATAACACAAATAAATACACATATATGTACTTTAGTTTTTTTACATATCATGGTATGACATGTATTTTCCTTGTTTTAGATATATTAACATTATAATTATATTATAAAATCATACATTTTATAAAAAAAAAATACTTTTGCACAGAAACCTAAGTCCATATTCATTTTCCGTGCGCTTCTTTAATAGTTAAAACTAAATAGTTGTTTCCAAAATCAAAAAAATCTAAAATTTAAAATTGAGTAGTTTTTAAAATAAATGTTTAGTTTACCATTTTTAATGCTAGAAAATTAACTAGAGTATAAGAAATTTTTTACTAGATACATTGAATTAATGAAACTAATCTAGTTTACGAAAAAGTAAATTAATTTCTAAACTATTAGTTAAACATCTTAAATCTATAGTTGAATCAATAATACCAAATCAAAATAAGTTGGCTAATTTTTCACATACTTTTTTGTATTCCACTAACTAATATAAATCATATCATTCAAAATTAAATTAAATTATTTATCTTCCTCGTCCGAATTCGTATTAATTTAATAAAGCTATTTTTCTGTTGTATAGTAAGTATATAAGCTAATGAAAAAATTGATTCTGAGTGAAGAAAAATATTAAACTACTATTAATGCTTATCATAAAATACTAGTTAAGTGTATTTTAAATATTTTTAAATTATCGTAAAAATAACTTATAAGAAACATGTGTCAAATTTTCCAACATTATTATCGTGAAATTAATTTCAAATATCTCCCTATAGGAAAAGATTTCAATTAGTCTTATATCAATTTTATATAAAAATGATAACATAAGTAATAGTCAAAAATTTCTAACATAATATTTTTAAATTTTTATAGGTTAGTTCAGTTTATGAACTTTGTAGATTTTCAAAAATTGTATTACTATATATATTCTAATATTCTTGTGCTTGAAAAAGATAATTTTAAGAATAGAAGAATGATTTAAGTTTCAATGATTAATATTTTTTGATTTAAACTAATTAACATATATTTTTTAAGAAGAATATCGTATTTTTCATTTAATATACCTACTTTTCAATATTTATTTAATTTTTTTTTTTTAAATAAAAATAAAAATGGATCTAAAAATTTTGATTTTCAGAGAAACCAAAACAAAAAATACAAAGGTTTTAGTCTCTGTTTTAAATACGTCATTAAGTTATTGAGCTCAACGTTAGCTCTATCATTGTCTTAATTTGTTTTCATATTGTTATAACTTGTAGTTTGAAAATCATAAAGATTTTTGAAAAGTTATATTAAAACTGGGAGAAATATGTATCTGTAAAATGAGATTTTGGACTATTGGGATAGGTATTAAAAAAGTGAGAATGTTTTAAAAGTCTTAAAAAACTAATAAACCTACTTTTCAACAAACTGAGATTTCTTAGAACTGGAATTCTGAAAAGTAGATATGAACGGGACCGAATAATATACGCGGAGAGAGTTTATCATTTTAACAATAACAACTAATATAGTAAAATATTGTCTTTTAATTTTGTATAATATGGGTACAAAATAATCGTTAAAACCGGCAGACCGGCTGCAGTTTCACCGATAACCCAACGGCTGAACAGACAACAGATAACCTACTGTTTCGTATACCGAGCATTGATACTAATTCTATTCAATTTTATACTGAGATTACTAAAGGTTATGGGGATATGGTTTGATCAGAATTTTTCACCGATTCACATTTCCAAACTACTAGGGCACCATGCGAAAATGTACATGTTAAAGTCATAATATATTATTCAATTTTACTAAAAAATATGAAACCTATCTAAAAGAAAATTAAATATACTAATTGATAAATATATTATCAATTTTTTACTTATATGTATAGTATAATAATTCATATCTCCATTAAAGGTATATAAGAGAAATATATGAGAGAGAAGAAAATAATAACCAGTTTGATTTTGGGATAGTGCTTTTGATGTTGTGTTATAATTCTAGTTATAACTCTAACAAAAACATCTAAGGTACCTATTAATTAATAATTTTGATTTTGCGGCAACAACTAATAATGGATGACGGAAGAAATATAACATGAATAACATTGTACAGGTTAAAAAATAAAAAAATAAAATAAAATAATTAAAAATAGTTAAAAATTAACATTATTTACCTCAATTATGAAATTAAATTTTCATGTTATCAATTAAGAACTTTGTAAATAGTTTAGTATAGCATTAATTCAACGGATTATAACATTGCCGCAGCAACGCGTGGCCGAGTCAGGTAGTTATATGATATATATTTAAAACCCTTCACACAGGACTAAAAATATATGTTGTAAATGGAGTATTATTATTTCTAATTTAAAAATAATGATTAATTATCGCATTCAAAAACGATTATGAGCTCAACTCAGTTTTTGACAATTTTTTCAGAACGTAACCAACCGTTAAACATAAAAAAAGTATAAATCAAGATTTTAAAGATACATTGGATAGTATGTTTTATATTTATCTTAAAAAAATGTTTACTGCAATTAATATAAATAAATTACAAAGAAAACTTAAAATATATATAATTTTTTTTTTCCTAAATAATGCTTCAAAGTAACCAAAACTTGATTATTTCAAACACCAGTTCTTTTTTAAAGAATAGAGGCGTTCTCAAAAAATCGTTTAGAGACATTCAAATTATGTTTAAAGGACAAATAAATTGCGAATAAAACTTAAAATTATTTAAAAAATACCATCAATGCAAACAATAATACATTTATTGCTATGCTTAGAAACTAAAATTGTCAAGTATATTGAATATTATATATATATATTACATTCTAAAACTGATTTTGAAATACACTATACACATTACACATATAAATGGAAAACACTACTATAATAAACTATTTATATTTATATAAACAACTTTTGTGTTGATACCAACGTTATAATCGCTTAAAATATACAGAGAAACCAGGAAATTCGTCTGTCAAATCAAATTTGAAACCCTTTGTAGCTACCGTATAGCAGGTTTTGGTGCGTAAATGATTACGTAGACAGTCTCAAAGGTGTTTCTAAACGTTCGAAACTCTGTTAAATATATATATACATATTTTTTTTTCAAGTTATAAATGTTTTACACCGTCATTTCTATAGATTCGCATTTCGCACGTTCGCGCGTTACAGGGAAATAAAATAAATGTACTCCCACCTAAAACACGAGCACAGATAATATTTAGATAAAAAACTCGTTCTTCGTGATTGAACGCGCGCGTCAATATTGCGACACACATGACTATCACACTGGATGATTTCCCAAGCATGTTCACTCACGTTTTTCCTTTGATAAATAATTTATTCAAGTACTGATTTTAAGAATTTATAAGTTTACATCTAATATTAAACTTATCTTATATTCTTGTATGCTTATTTATAAGGATTAATATTCTCGGTATATACATTTTAATGACTCAAAACTCAGAAACTACCTATTAAAATTTGGATTAATAGATACGTGGAAATGTTCAAAAAAATTGTTTGCTTGACAAATTAACAGTTTAAAAAAAAAAAAAAAAGAAAGATTAATTCGTTTGAATAAATGTAACGTATTCGGTCACATGTCCGCTGTTTAAATGGTATATACAAATCTAAACATTTGTAAATTATGTTTTTCTGAAAACGTTTAGTTGAAAGTTTCGAAAATCTGAATTCAAATTAAATTTATATTAAGCGAAACAAATGGATTGGAGAGGGGGAGCATCGTGCTTCGCGATTTTTCATCTTATTGTACTTAGATAATATCTATAGAATAAACTAAACGAACGAAAATGTTATAGCTATTGCCGCGATTCCGAAAATCGTCTGCGAAACGATTCATGCACTGGAATTGCAAGACGAAACACCATCGTGGAAAATAATGGACAACAAAGGCCGTGTTACCGTTGTGTTGCACTGGGACCAACGTAATCAAACCTACCGCAGTTCTGGTAACAGCGGTGGTATGGACACGTCGCCGTCCAAGAAGACAATGGCGCACCAGCAAAACGGTGTCGGAAGTGTGCTGATGGAGAACAACAAGGGCCCGCCGAAGAGGGAACCTAACCAAGTGTTCCAGCAACAACAACAGTCCGCGCCGTCCATTTATCGTCACGGTTCCACGCCTCAGATCACGGTCATCCACCACGACGCCATACCGCCGACAATGCACGATGGTTCGAGTAAATATAATACTATAGAATATATTGCCATTGAATTTATGATTATTTCTTTGAGCTATTTGAAATAATGCAATAATAATAATTATTTAAGGGCAGTGTATGTGCTATTATTACGTACCTCTACATATCATTACCATAATAATAATAATTATTATTATTATATTATCCGTAAATACCTATATATATATATACGTTTAAATGGCGTTTATGACGCGGCTGAACTATAACGTTTCGTTCTAATAATATCTTTAAGCCATGTGCCTAGTTTTTCATTACCTATAGTTATTATAAATTACAAAACTTGCCGTTGTTTAATAATATCTTGGAATTAATTTGTTTAGGAACATGAAGAATTCTAGAAATCCAAAATAATTTCCTCGGAATTTTCACTGTTGTACGCATATTTGACATTTTCTTTCCTTTATAATTACTTTTTATCATTTTACAAAAATATTAACATCTCTTTTGATTAAAAAGTTATTCTTTGATCATGAAAGCCGAAGTTATTATCATTTCTAACGAAGTTTTATAACATCTTTTATAAACAACAGTATAAGAATACATAATTAAGCAATAGATAATTTTACTAATTTTATTACTTTAAAATAAAATGACTGGTGTATTATAGTTTAAACAAATCTGTTTAGTTAAATATCATTAATTAATCTGCCGATCTTTATGAGAATTGATTTTTTGTCTATGTTATCTAAAAACAAAGACTCACATTTGTTAATATTTTTTATAAATTAATTTTATTTTTAGCTGTTTCTTAAAAAAAGATATTAAATACTTTGACCTTCTTAATAAAATTCATAGCTAATTTTGTTAATTTAATACAATTTTATTTTAAGAGTAGGTACAAACTAATTATTTATTTATTTAAAGATTTTTTTTTTTTTTTTGAACAATAATAGGTAAATTCAATAAAAATAAATATTAATTGTAGAATTTATAATAGTGTAGAGTCGTGAGTCCATTTAAACCAATTATACTCAAGTGCAGATTAAATTAAAACAATAGAGTTTAACAAGTTGTTGGTAATAATATTTAAACCATACTTAAATAATCAATAAATTGTTAAATCAGAATATTTTCCATAAACAATAATAACTTTAGTTCTGAGCAGTGATTGTATAAAATGTATAAATTTCAAAATCACGTGTGTGTTTTTATTATTTTTATTTTATTTTTATGTCTGTTGTCACTATTCAAAACAGTAAAATGCTTTAATCTTCAACAAAAGTATATTTTTCGGCAATAAAGTGGATCTAACTACTTTAAGAAATCAAAAGTAATATAAATCAAGTACATATCTTGATAATTTAAAAAAAAATAACTAGTAAAACAGAAATTTGTATGAAAAAGAAAATTATTTTGCATACATTATTTTATTATTATTTGTTGTAAATCATAAAAAAAATAAACATAGATACTTGAAATGTTCAATATATGTTTAAAGTTATTGATTATTTAAACATGAATTAATATCTAAAATATTTTGGCTCTATTGAGCTATTTTCAAACGTTTAAAAATTTTGATTTTATTTTAGTTATTTTCTTTAACTATTGATTGAAAAATGTATATTTACTTAGAATTTAATGATAATACTTGAAAATTTTATGCAAGGGTTCTTAAAATATTATTTTTATGGAAGGAAAAACAAAATTGTTTATGTTAAGCTAAAAAATTTTTAATAAGATTCTAATGGTGATGACATTTAATTTCTCACTCGTAAAATTTCGATTTCTCAACCAAATTTTTAATATTTTATTGTAATTTCAAAAATATTTGATGTAGAATCTTTGAATACTTCAATATTAATCAAATAATTATTTTTCATGAGAATTAAAATTTTAAAATATTTAGGCACTTTTTCTTTTGATAATTAATATTGGCTACAAAGTATTAAAATATAACACAAAATTCCTTAGATATTTATTTTATAAAAACTTAAAAATATGATAAATATACATGGAACATTTTTTTTTTTTTTTACATTGTTATTTAAAATTCAAATTTTGTTAAAATTGGAATAATTAAATAAAAAATAAATATTTAAGTTATTTTTCTCTAGTTAAAAGAATATTATTCGTTAGAACTCAAAAATATTTACCATTGCCTGTATTATTTTGTACAACACAGGTTGTATTTTTTTAAATGTCTATATTAATTTTAAGTAAAGCAATTCATAGTTAGAACTTATTTAAACTGTTCTATGAACTATGGTCCATTAGTACTGACTTTAAGTTGATAATAACTAGTGATATTATATGAAATATTATTTCAATATTTAGGTAGATACTAGATACCTATTATTTAATATATTTAATGCAAAAATTAGTTAAACCTATCGTATTTCTACTAAAATTATAAAGTTCTAGTAGCAATATGAATTAACTTTAAAATATTCTTTCAAAAATAGAAGATGGGCTGAATCGAAAACTCAAACTCGTTTTTTGAATTTATGCAATAAATTATTTATTATTAAATTCAAATTTAAAACATCCATTACAATAATCTATACCCAATGAAGGGGTACACTCGAGACATACTAGTTCTATAGTAGATTTCATGTATTTTTTATTTATTTTTTTTTTATTGGTTTTAAAATTATAAAATTTTTCCTTCTACTACTAAAGCCATTAACATAACATATATATATAAATTATATCTAATAAAAGAATAAACGAAAAAAAAAATACAATTTTAAATTAAATATTTAAATATTTATGTACATGGCAATTGTTAGCTATATTAAATTTAGTTTTTGATTGTTTTATAGAATTATGTTGCGTGAATTTAATTTTATACATTACCTATATCTTTAATATTTTAACATTCTTGTTTGAAAATAAATTGCTGTTGATGTTCATCTCAAAAAACTATACGCTTCTTATTTATGCGAGAAAGGTTTTATATAAAAAAAAAAAAAAACATAAGACATGAAAGGTAAAGATTAATCTATGTACTACGCGTCAAACACTACAAAGCGTATTTGGATTATTTTTCAGATTGTAACTTAATAGCAGGTTGTAGTACGTAAGTATAACTAATTAAAAACCTAAATATGAGTATGACAGATAAAAAAGTTATTAATTTAAAAATGAACACCATCGATTGTTGAACCAAAAACTATTGACTATAAAACTCGCATAAAAGCTTTTAAAATTTAAATATATAATAAAACATGATTTTATAAGTAGAAAAATTATACATTTTATATAATATATGCATAATATAAAAAATAATTAATAAAGGGTATAACCATTTACCCCAATCATGATCTATTGGGTACTTACTCGTGCCAATTTATTTTACGCATAATTACTTTGATAAATATACCACTAAATCAAAATTATAATTAAAATTTTAAATTCAAATACGTTGGTAGTATACTTTCAGGTAGTGATGGGCACTATCAAATAGTATTAAATTTGATAATTTGGAAAAACTATCGAATATCTATTCAAATATTTTTTACATAACCAATTAGTAGTTTCTTATTTAAAACTATCGAATAGTTCAGTGGACTATTCAAATCGCACTATTGAATAGTTTAATTTTTTCGAACTATTCGAATATTTCAATTTTTAAAAAGATCGCAGGCGCATATATGGAGATGCCAGGTGGTGCTTAGCACTCCCCGCTAATTTTAAACTAAAAATATTGTTTAAAGTGTAATTTTGCGTTTATAAAAATAAGTTTATTGAGTTTGCATTGATAATTCGCTAATTCTACGGACGTACATATTTAATATATATATGCAGTATTGGGTATTTGTGTTTGCAATGTTAGTATGTTTCCTATTTAGTATTTATAACGCATTTGGATTTTGGAAAATTCATAAGCTATCGGCTTGTCAATATTTAATTTATAAAATTTTTTTATAATTCGGTTTTAATTATTAAATATTAAATAGATATATCCCACAACATAATTTGGTCAAAAATTAAATACATCGATTATTGAGTATGATAACAATTAAAAAATTAGCAACTTATAACCTATTTATTAATAGTTAGTTTTAATAATTTTTAAATTAAAAAAATTAACTATTCGAATAGTTATGAATGAATAGTGAACTACTATCGAATAGTTCAATAGTGACTATTTGATAGTGCCCATCACTATTTTCAGGTTTAGATATAAAACCCCCAAGTCCTAAGATCAATAGAAAAATTCAAATTTACAAAAATAAATGCATATCTACGTGAAATATTTAGTAAGAATTCTACAATTATTACAATTAACAAAATGTACTAAATCGATATAATTGTAAAACCTTGTTGTTTTATCAATTACAAAGAAAAATAAAGCCTTACTAGTAATTTTTTTAAGGATCTTTCACTTTTTAAAATAAAAATAATAAATCTATTTTCTATTTAGTAAATGTGTATATAGATGAATCTAATCAATGCCTTTTTCTAAAATGTAAAAAAATGTATTGAATAAAGAAAAAATTATAAATAAAAAAAAAATTAAATTCATATTTGAAAATTGACGTAGTTACTATGTTGTTTCGAATGGGTTATTAAATATGTGTATCAATGTAATTGATGTACTAAATATGAATTCAAAGATAAATCATTATATAGGTAGCTCACTCGGCGTCAACTTCTCATGATGCCTTATAATTTATTTATATTACTATACAGTTAATTCAACTAAATTTTACCGAAATATCGCATTTATTATATAAAAATAATTTAAATACAATATAATAATATTTTAATTTACTTTAAAGTCAATATTTACTATCAAATAGATTCGTGATAAAAATAATTTCAAGTTATTCTAAATATTTTAAAATGCACTGTGTGTAGAAAACAATTATTTACGTAATGGTAAAGTGTTAATGATAAATATTTTTAAGATTATAACAAAATAACTAATTGTAAAAAAATCATTAGCTATGGATTATTGTTATGTAATATCAAATTTTGACTATTACTTTAGCTAAGAATATCATGATAAAAATAAAATTGTACACAATAAATACTTCAATATTTTTCAATGCTAAAAACTTATGAAAAATATTATATTTAATGTCAATCATTTCAACTTACAAACAAAAACAATGAAAACGTAAAACCAACTCAAAGTTCTATAATCAACATAAAGTGAATATTTCAAGTCTATGGTTACTCATTTTTTAAGTAAAATAAAAATAAAATCAATTTTGTCAAAAACTAGATTTTTATAAATATTTATGTTTTTTTTTATATTTTTTCCTCAATTATTAAGAATATTACTAAGAATTTTTTACTTTTTACACACCAAAATACCAATTACATATTATTTTCTGCTCAAAACAATTTATACATTTTTTTAGCTCCAATACATAATGACGTAGGTAGATATATAATATATATATATATTATCTTTATTTTTAATACGTTATTATTTAACCAATATTAATTTAAAATAATAAAGAAGTAAAATCTCATTAATTTAAGAGTTGTTACCATCAATAAAATAATTATTATTTTACCTTACAAAATATCAGTGAAATATCCTAAAATAGCTCTCAGAGTTTAAAGTGTATTGAAAGTTGAAAGTTAAAAGAAACTCTTCTTTATTGAAATTTAATGTATGGTTTTGTAGTATAATATTATACTAGTGACAGGTAGCACAACATATTGTGTTTAAATATGTAAAACCAATTATTTTAAACGATTAAATTTAAAATTTAATTATTTTATCAAAATTATAAAATTAATAAGAAAACTACAAACATTTTTAATTTTTAATTCACCAATAGTAGTTTTGTTATACTGAGGTGTTGAAAAAAAAAATATTTTTGTATTAAAGATACTGTATTACTTTATAATTTTTAATTACAACTCTAATCAACATAACACCACAATTTAAGTAGTTTTATAATTGTTGGGCTTTCTGAATTTCACATTATATTCACTATTCAGAACTACCCATTTTATTCACGTTTAAACTATTTTTTTTTTTTAGATGCTAACGACTATTTCTTAATTAGTGTTGATCCATTTGTGATTTTGATTTTTCAAACAATTATGGCAGTCGAATCGTAGATGTTGATTCATTATTTAATAAATTACCAAAACTTTTCAAAATTTAATAAACTACCTAATTTATAGTTCTAAATAAAATGATTAGATTACTTTTGCTTATTAGAAGTGTCCAGTAGTTATTTTTTACTATATCTAATACTGAAATTATAAATCCAATGAACTATATTAATAATCATTAATCATTATTTATATTTACAAAAATTATTAGAATGTAATAATTGTAAAGATACTAAAATATTATATCCATGTTGTGATATTTGTGGTTCACACAAACAAATTTTTTGTGGTGGTAAAATAGAATAGATTATTTTTATTTTACCTAGTTAATTTATAAACCAAATTAAGAGGATTACGTTAAATTTTATTTATAACCCATATTTAGTTTAGAATCAGTACTCAAATAGTAAGTTTTATTTGCATGATACTTGCGTAAGCACGGTGATTGTAATACAGTTCCTTTTGAACTTAGAAAAGTTTCTGTGAATAATATACTTTTTATTTTTCTAAAATAGAAGTAATAGTGTAGAAATTATTATTTTCAAAGGAAAACCTTTAACACGAGAATTTTATAAAATTATTATTTTCTTGTAATCCAGAAAATAAAAATCTTGACACTAAATATTTAAACTTTAATTGTAATAAGTAGAAGTAGTAAAGAACTATTTTATAATATGAAAATACATAAATATATGTATACAAAATTCTACAGATATTTCATGGATAAGCCTAATATTTCTGCAATCAATTATTATTTTGAATTCATTATTTTTCCCGTAATATAAAATGAAAATGAACATTTGATAATTTAATTTTCAAGTTAACTTTTTTATAATCTAGTTTTTAAAAATAATTCTCTAAAATGATTCAATCTAAATAAATAGTTTTAAAATTAGTTCTGCAAGCTGTCACAATATGATCAGTCGAAAAAACATGAAAAATTATTATTCATAAATCTATGCTCCGAGTAATTTTATATTACTAACCAGCAATCAGAAAACATTAGATAGTATAATCAAAATGTATTTTTAAATATTTTTTCAGTCATAAGTTCACGTCTTTAGAATAATATTACATAACATTCCAAAATCTATCATGATCGTAGAGACCATAGACCATAATAATATACTAAGTGCTCAAGGGAATCGTTGGGAATGGAGGTGTTTTACAAAATTATTTTCAACATTCATTATTTTTATAATCCCTGAAAAATATTTTAACAAGATATTCAAATTCAATTTGATAAATTTTACAGCTTAAAATTATTATAAAAATGTATTATAAAATTATTATTATATTTAAATATATTTATATAAATGAATATAAGTATATTTAATACTTAAAATTAATTTTAATATGACTGTTGTTATAAAAATAATTTATTATATTTAAATCATTCATAATTATTTTTTGAGTATCGATATCACCATCATAAGTCAAACCCAAGTTTAGTCGTTTCAATAATAATTAGGGAAGAGGTAGTTACCAAATACTTTCTTTTAAGTCAAAGAGGGATATTCTTCAATTCCATTGTGAACACCACAGGTTAGAGGTACATATTATATATTATACACAAACAATTTTCAATTTTCATTGTTTTAAAAAAATATTAACGATTTTGGAAATTTTTTTTTTACACAGTTTTATGTCATTTAAAAATAATATTTTTCAAAAATAGAAAAACAAATTATTCTGAAACATTCTTAAAATATTTTTTTTCACCATTTTTATTGTTATCGATTTTTAATTTTATTTGTTTTTATGACTCCATGCATATTTAATTTCTTATTCGAAAGGAATATTAGTTGAAGTACTTCGATACAAAAATGTTGGACAAGTATAGTTTACGAGTTATAACTTAAAAGCATTTAAAATATAGACAAGCCGAGTGGAACGGTATACAGAGGTATCCCTTAAAATGTCGGTCCACGCTAGTCGAAATTTTAAATATTCATACGTTATAATAAGCTAAGCGTAATAAGTATACAAACTAATTGACCAAAATTCTTTTTTTTATCTAATCTATTGAAGTAGGTAGGTACTCTCCCAATAACGTAGTGCTTCGGAGTATTAAATCTAAAACGTCTATTTTATAACGATAAAATATGGTAAAAAAATATCGTTGTTTTCCCTTAACCACCGCCGTTTTATAATGACTTCATATCGAAGGAAAAAAAAACAAATGATTATTGTTATAATCATAAACGGTAGTGCGTCTTCTGAAACAACGAGTGTCGTACGCAAAACATATTATTAATATTATTATTATTATTATTATCGACGACATATTATTTTGTCACGTGACGGAGTAAAAAAAATAACTTAGCCCGTCGTTTTGTCGCGTGTCCGACAGGTCAACACTATCAGCAGCTGCACCAGCCGCCGGGGCGCAGGCTGTCCAAGCAGGGCAGCAGTTCCATGGACGCGGCGGCCATACACGTGCACACGTCCGAGTGCGCGCAGTTCATACCGCCGCCGCCGTCGCACAACTCGGCTTCCGGCGGTGGCGGCGGCGGCGGCGGTGGTGTCTGCTCGCCGCGGTCGAGCAGCCCGTCTCGCGGATCCCTGGCCGCCGACAGGATGATGCCGCCGCAGTTGCACAGCCTGCCGCCGATACAGCAGCCGTCGGCCACCGCCGACCACCACGGGTTCGAGTGCGACTTCCACTGTTGCGCGCTGCACGAGGAGGGCCGCCGGATCGCGGTGCACAAGTCGGTGGCCACGTCGCCGATACAGGAGTGCCACCACGCGCCGCCGCCGCCGCTACTGCAACAACCGCCGTCCGTTTCAGGCGGCCAGCCCGTCTCGTCCTCGCTGTCGGACGGCACGCGCCGCGCATCGCCCAAGGGCCACGTCCGGTTCCTGGACACCGCCGGGTCGCCGCCGCTGCCCCCGCCGCCGCTGCTGCCACCGTCGCCTCCAACGTCGCCCGCGCGCCGGCAACAAACGCTCCAGACGCCGCAGCAGCAGCAACAGCAGCAGCCGCCGTTGCCGCCGCCCCAACTGCAACATCGCTCCGACAGCTCCGACTCCGAGACCGAGACCACCGTCATCGAGGACGATTCGATGACCAGCGAGAAGTTCCTGTTGCTCATCGACCAGCTGGTCAACAAGCAGGACAGGCACCTGACCGTCAAGGACATCGGCATCATACTCGAGCGGCTCAACTCGAAAATCGTGGACGTCGAGCGGTTGGACCGCGACTACGAGGCCACCGACTGCTACAACTGGACCATCAAGGCGACCATCAGGGGCGATGTGCTCCAGGAGTACGGCATCATATACAACGGCAACTACTACGGCATATCCGAACATCCGGGATACCGGCAGAACGACGAGGAGCTGCCCAACGAGGACGACGAGGAAGTGCTGGACGACGACGACGACGGTGGTGGCGTGTCCGCGGCTGCGGCAGCCGGCAGTGGATCCGGTAGAGAAGACCGCCAGCGCAGGCGTCGCGCCGACGAGGAGGTTAACATTTAAATACTTTACTATATAATCACACGTTGTTACACGCACACGACATGCGCACACACGCGCACACACACAGACACGCAGACGAATACAGATACACACACAGACACACAGATACACACACAGACACACACACACACACACACACACACACACACACACACACACACACATACACACACACAGACGCATAGGTACTCGACAACCAAAACAAACTGTAAAGGGTGCAGAAATTAAAATACATTTTCAATGTAGGAATGTGAATTAATTTAACTGCCATCAATAAAATGAAATTGCTTTGGAATGGTAAAAAGGTATACTAACAGATAGTAAATTTTTATTTTGCCACTTCGCACCTTGTTTATTGGTGGTGGCATGGGCAAGGGTATCGTTTCTCACCTTTGAATAATAACCAGGGCCATTTCACTCCCACACACCTCATAAATGTCGTTTATGCACACACAAAATACACACATATAGTTTGCCTATAGTATGTGTGTGCTTATGCACACACAAATACACACATACAGTTTGCCTAGTATGTGTGCGTGATACATTCTCGGTTATATGTTTGACCTCCACGGTTAGTGTTTTGAAAACCACGAGAAAAATATTGTGACAAAAATTATTATTTGTTTTTTAATAGTTCCAATCGACGTTTGAATATTATTAATATTTATTATATTGTTATTATTACTATTATTATTATTATTATTATTATTATTATTATTATTGTTATTAATCGTAATACTCCTGTTGCCGAACCTGCCATAAATAGGTACTACGGTAATCGTTATGCTACGTGATGATGATAATAATATTATGTGTGTCTATAATGTTATGGTGTATAATATTATTTTATGATATTGTGCCTGTTGAGCGTCAAACAACATTTTCGTGTTACTTGTCGCATTCGATTCACCACCGCACCATACCTCAGACACGCAATGTCGCGGTTTCGTTTCATGTGTTTCCAATAACGTGTTGTTTTTTTTTTTTTTTTTTTTCATTACTAACCGCCGTCGTGACTGCCAACATACATATTATTATACGTGTATACATAAAAATAATACACACACACACACACATATATATATATTATATAATACACACATTTACCAAGCCATAAAAATTTTATTTGTTAGAAAAAAAAGTAAGAATAAAAACGTTTGACTAAACGTCTAACCCGAGGTACTATTTTCGATACCGACATATTATAGGCTGTCAGTGTCGTTTTTATAAAGACAGTTCAGCTTAGGGTTTTTCATTTGTTTAGATGAAACATTATATAGAAATGTTCCCTTATTGCGTACTCCGCATTTTATATAAAATTATCTTCTCCGACAATTACGAACGAACAAAACGTCGTTTATGCATATACCATTATTATATTATTATTATTATTATTGTTTATATTATTATTATGATGATAAGTATTTTTTTTATTATTAGAATGTATTATTTTTATGATAATTATTATTATTACTATTAAGGATGATTATTATTATTATTATTATTATTATTAATATTAAATACAATATATTACAATATATTATTGTTATTACTGCGATCTATACAGAAGCCTTATTTTTGAAAACAGAAGTACTGTTTGTTATTTTGTATCCTTTCAAAAAAAAAAGGCTACGCAGTTTTCCAAATTTCACGTAACACGTGATTTTTATTAAATGTAATAATAATAATTATTACTTTCATAGGTCATACTCATGAGTCATAATGTTTTACTCAGCTAGGTTATAAGGTAAGTAACGTAAGTGTTCACCTAAAGCTGCATTTGTTTTAAGAACAATTTTTAAGATTTCCTTTTTTTTTTCTTTTATGTTAGCAGAATATAAAAGTAGACAAACAAAAATTGTTATAGAATTTATAAAATAAAAACAGAAATACTGTTTAATGTAATTGTTGAATTTTATGTAATTTAAACTGAATTATCTTGTGAACTTACTGTTTCATTTGTTCAACTCATTATTTTTTTATTCGACATTTATTATCTCAGGTACATTAGAATGTTTTTAAAAAGAATCTGTATGTAATTCAGTAGTTGTGTACACTCTTATATTAATGCTATTTATTTACATTTTTTCAGCATATTTGCGTTACAGTCTTTATATTTTCTATGACTAATTCACATAATGCTTAAAATTCTCCCTTTAAAATTTTATTATATTTCTTGGAAATATTAGAGTAGAAAAATGTTATTTATAAATTTACAGACAAACGTCAGTCAAATGACTCAAATGATATAATACATAGCTTTATAAAATAAATGGGTATAATATCATGTTATTGTTTTATAAAAATCAATTGTATTCGGTATTTAATAACTTATTTGATTATTTTAGGTTTCATTATTTTGTCACATTATACTCATTTAAATTCTCATTCGTTTATGATAATTCGTCCCAAGCGCACAATAGATTTTAAAGTTTAAACAATATTAAAGACTTTAAGTAAAACCTAATTTGTTATCACAGTTTGTTTTACTATCGGTGTTTCTTATAATTCAAATATTTTTCTATAGTCATACAAAAAAAAAAAATAAATAAATAAATAACAACAGTAAAAAATATTAGATAATTTATTATACTTATTTAATATATTGTAGAGAAACAATTTTAACATACAATTCTTCCGCTCAAATCACAATTTAAATTTAAATAGTGTATAATAATGTAATCTAATAGTTATTCCATATAGTTTAATAATGGAATTTTAAATGGAACAACTTATTGAGATCCATGCTTAATAAAAATATGTTATTTCAGTGAAAAATAGCACGTTATTTTAGACAGACTTACCAGTGTCTTCCTGAATAGATAATTTGACAATTTGACATTTATTTTGTGGGCAATTATCCATACGACTTGGTGGACAGTATAAATTTACACGAAGAAGCACTCTACTATAGCGTACATCTATGACTTTGAACAACGTTCATTATAAATTATATAATGACATTGCGTTATGGATTATGCATTATTTTCTGCAAAATAAACAAGAAGACCTAAATAATGCCATGGCTCAAACGAAACTATTTTTCATTCCAAGTAATATTACCATAATCAAGATAGTTCTCATTTGACTTGTATAATATATTATATCTAATTTATAAGACTAGATACTACAATAATATTTATATATACCTACATATAATCTATTATAGCTAAGATATAAGTCGAGAAAACATGGTTATAATCAAGCAGTTAATTATTGTTTTTTTAGATTCCACCTAACCCAAGTAGACACTTATCTTATTAAAACATTAAAACTTTACTATATTATGTTGAGCAAAACTGGATACATAACCATTAACATATATATAAAATATTATTGTCAAATCGAAGATATTTTATTCATAAATCTAATAGGTATATAATGTCGTTTTAAAAACTTGTAGATTATATCACATTTATAACAAATTATTATTAGTTCGAATTAATTTTTATTTTTTTTTTTTTTTTTATTAACATCTATAAATCTTTATTTTAAAAGTTACTAAGTTACCGTCTTCTAATACTACAGTAATTTTTTATTCAATATCGATGAACAGGGGCGGACTGGGCCGACGGGCGGGTGGACAATCGCCCTCTGGGCTGTTAGGATTTTTGGCCTTACGATAATAGATTACGATAATAATTGTATATTTTAGTTGACAATTGAGGACACGAAATTTTTTTTTTTAATTTTATATTTGTATAATGCAAATAGACCAAATGACGATGATTGAATAATTGGGCATGAGGAAAAGTCACTTATTCTATCTGTCTAGGCTATTAATATTTAGAAATGTATGCTGGGATAATGCTATTTGTATTATACTATAACACCTGAGCGGCTGGGCCTTAATCTACGATCGCCCGGGCCGATTTTTTACGTCAGTCCACCCCTGTCGATGAATATAAATTATAAAACTTATAATATATAAATATATATAAAATTATTGTTACAATAATTCAACTTAATTTTTATGAATTCATAAGCATTATACTTTCTTTAGAAATTATACTACATTATAATTATTTATGTACTAATAAAAGCTAACTAATCATTTTTACTAATAATAATATACATTGGTTTTAAATAACGGCAGTATTTAATTACAATAAGTAGCCTATTGTTTTATAATTATAATTTGGGATCAAATAGTCATTTGAATTACTTTCTCTTCTTTCATACCTGCACTCAAGTATAAAAATTCCATTACCACCTTTACAATATTAAAAGTTAATTAACTGTGAATGTCTATCCTCAATCTTATAAATCCAGTGATTTTATTTCCATTTAATTTTAAACTTTTAATCTTATTTTTTATTTTAATCATTAAATTTTATCTTGAAGACTTTAATACTTATTTTCTTATCCTTTAATAGTATAATTTGTCACGAGCGTATTATACAACTTATTTTTAAACACATTTCATCGAGATCCTGTCATGATGTTAAATTTAATTAGTAGGTAGTAGGTATCTAGATAGATCTTAATTCTGACGCTACGTCGTTTTGAAAAAATTGAGTCATTAATTTGAAGCTTAGTCAGCTTCAGTAATATTCTAAATACATAACATATACAATACAACATAACAGCACTATCAGCGTGAAGGCCATAAGCTTATTATATACCAAATACCAACTAACAAAAACAAAAAATGGATTTTTATGTAAATGTATGAAAAATATATCAACAGTAATCTATTATAATAATATACTCTTAAACATAAAGATAGTAAACGGATAAACACGAAAAACATTATATTCAAAACATATTTTAATACGCCTATTGACGAATAACCTACAGTAGGTATTTAAATTGTATCGATATTAAAAAATAAAAATGCATAGAATATAATATTCTTGGTTTGAGCAGAGATATCTAGATTCTTAGGAAATTTTCAAGCAAGAAGTTTGTAATTACTTATGCGTGATCAAATTTGAAAAATAATATCTTTTTGAACTAAAACAACTATTATTGAAAAAGGTCTTAATTTATTTTAAACTTGTAATCATCGCAGTTACCAATAAATTAATTTATTGCATTAGAATTATAATTTTTTTAATTAC